CAGTGTGCCAGGGACTAGGCTAATCCATTCTCACATTTAATTTTCACAACAACCCTATGGAGTAGGCCTATTGTGACCCAAACTTTACAAAGGAGGAAATTGAGACTTCAAAAGCTTAGACGCTAATTCATCCAAGGCCACTCAGTTGGAACTGTGTGGAACTCTAATCCAAATCCACACATCTAGTTCCAATGCCCACATACCCAACACCTTACTGCCTCCATCAAATGGGAAAGGTCACACCTGGCCTGTTGGCCTCATAGAGTTGTTGTGAAGAAAAAAGAAGTCTGTAAGTTCGTTGGAAAGAGAAAAGTGATACACAAATACAGGCTGGATTTGTTGTGATCACTTCTACGTAAGTGAAAAGGCAGAATCTGGAACTCAGCCCATCTTCCCACACTTCTCCCCTTTTTCTATGTAATTTTGATGCACTTATCCCTTGGAACTGGAATGACATTCTTCTTTCCTCCTACTCCATACCATTTTAATGAAAACATTTAAGCAAAAACAAACGTGAATGCATTCACGTTCATCATATGACTAACTGCAGGCTTCAGGAAACATTTTCGGTTCACCTTAATCACAAATCCCAAAGGTTATAATGAAATCCCTCAGAATAGGAACGAATTTTCTTTCCCTTTCTGCTAATTACAATAATAAAGGGTTCTAGAGTTAGGTGTGATATTTTAAAGAAAATAATAACTGGGAAGTAAGTAGAAAGATGTAATTAGAGTATACATCATATTCTATCTGTAGAGAATAAAAATATAGCAGTACGCCATGTCTGCAATGAACTTTGCCAAACTGTAACTACAGTTACATCCCAATTAGCTCTGCATCCTGAGGCCAAGCAATCCTAACCCTCAAAGCCTGACTGAAGTTTGGAAATGCTCACTCAATTAATGCTTCAAAGTTCCTCTCATCAAAGGTTTGTCAAGCAGGAAATAAGTGGCAAAACCAATAGACTTAATTCTACCTCTTCTCTAGACATCTGCCCAGAACATTGAGAAGAGGCTAACAAGTGTGACATGTAGAAAGTCTGAAGACAAACATAGATTAAAATGCAATAATGAACCCCTGAATAAACAAGGTATGACTATATTAAAATAATACAATAACATATCACTGGAGAAGATCGCCTACTTTGCTCTTTATTCTAATATTGTATTGATATTTGAAATACATGAAAAAGAACAATATTATTATGTGAACAACCTTTATGTAGCAAATGGTTTTCAATAACTAATAATTACATTCTTTGGAAACAAGCCTGGCCATTAACAATTTGCCAAAACAATGGCCTCTTTACCCTACAAATAAATAACTCCTCCTTCATCTGTAGTCTCAGCTCAGACTGTGTTTGTTGTATTTGCATAAAGCAAAGCATACCCAAAATTAGACAATGACTAAACCCTATATGTTATCCAGTTTGTTTGCCAAAAAAATGCCTACAATATTACCATGCTCAGAGGTGACTTACACCTGTACCTGTCTTTAGGAATGAGGTTTCAGGCCAGTCACACTTTGATATTCTACAATGGCAGTACCAAAATGTCCAGAGAGTGATAACAGCCCCAACTCTCAAGAGGGGGCTAACATCTTGCATTTTTATAGACTTGCACTTGTCCATCTGGTATCTCTTTTAGCCTCACCAAAGAAAGCCCTGTGAGGTAGACTTACCTACCTCGGCAAGTATTTCTGCTCATTGGGCAGATGCAGAATCAGGAGCCTAAAGAGTTTAAGTGACTGGTCAAGTCACAGCATTAATTATAGGCAGGGCTTAGTGGCTGCCCCATCTCTGGACACTTCCCACCTGCTAACTTATTTCCAACCTCCTGCGTGGAAGGGACTCTGTCTTCCTTTAATGGATAAAGTTTAACCATACGTGAAGGAGGTAGTCTTGAATTCTGCTGGTTTCAGTGACCAGATGTTGGTCACGTCTTAGGAAATGAAAATCCATTTACCTTCTACTGAACCACACCCAGATTCCTAAACTCTGTACAAGTTACAAGGTCTCCCCTGTGGAGCCAGATTGGCTGTCTAGCCCACATTAGGGTTCCAGAGCTGCAGGGTGCCCCTCCAGGAAAGAGAAGTTGAGAGGTCACCTCAACGTCACTGCCGGGCCCTTCCCCAAGCTAGAAGACCAGGAATCCAACCCCAGCCCCAGATACCTTGCTTGGGAAAGCACTTAATTTATTAGAGACTCAACTGTCTTATCTGTAAAATTAAAGGCTGATTTAAATCATCTCAATGGCCCTATCCATCACTTTGCCTAAAAGCCAAGTCCAAGAATTCTGAACATCAGGAACGTCTCTTTCATAGCCTACTCCAAGGTTTTCATTTTAACTTCATCCCTCTCTCTCTGTACCACCTGGTATCATTCTCTTCAAGCCTTTCTGTTTATGCTATCCAATATTTGTAAGTTGTTATCATGTGTCTTCTGAGTCATGAGTTTGCACTTTCCACACATAATTTAACCTCTATAAATTCAATTCATTCGGCAACTTACTATTTTTTGTGTTTTTCACCAAATCTCCGTCCATCTAGCTCATTAGATAGATGGTCAAGGAATTTCAGATAAAATTTTTCTCAAGGCCACCATTTTCAAAGAAACCTCTTCTCTTTGTTTTTCATATCTCTACTGGTTTCCAAAACATATAGGTATCTCAACATTTATTTTGCCTTATTTTCACAAGTTTGATTTTCCTCGTTATTACCCTTTGCTGCGATATTGCTTCTGGGTTTCTGCCTTTCAGTGTTTTTATTTGTTTGTTTTGTTTCTCTTTATAATTCTTGGTTTCCTCTTCAGCCCTACTGCCACCTTCAGTGAATGCACCATGGGAAAGCAGAACACCACAGTGTACCAGTGCAGAAATATTTAACTGTGTAGACACGGGACAGTAACACGGGTGAGGGGAGAAAGCACAGCATGTAGGCAGCTCTGTCTGCATATGAATGGACAGCTATGGGCTTGGTGCCACTGCATTCCCCTTTTAAAGCCCTACTTTTTTCCAGAAAGAAATGTAGAAGTGTGTATCCAGAAGGAAAAAATGCTAAAGCAACTAGGGAGCCAGAGCAGCTGACAGTTGTTAACTTTAATCAAAATCCAGCCAGGATTTTTTTTTTAAGCAACAGGAAGTAGATTCATTCTCTTTCATATTCATTCTCCCTCTCTCTCTCACACACACGCACACACACGCGCGCGCAGACGCACACATGCGCACACGCATGCACGCACGCGCACACACGTGCGCACACACACACGCACATTCTTTTCTCCTCTATCCTCCATCTTCTCTGACCAAGTCATGAAAACAAGCTGCACAAAAACTTCCATTCCCTTGAACTATCTTTGAAATGTTGCAATTCTCCTTGGCATTTCAAAGCCAACTACAGACCACAGAAGCACGGTCAAAGCAGAGAACAGCACCATGTGCGGCAGCCTAAGACACAGAGGAGCACGTATGAGTTTCCTGTGGCTGCTGTAACAAATTACCAAAAACTTGGTGGTTGAAAACAACACAAATGCAGACCACAACTACCACAGCCTCCACCAGACTGAATCCAGCACAACTAGATGGTGCCCAGCTACCACTACCGAGCGACTGCTCTGACAGGGATCACAATAGAGAGTCCGGACATAGCTGGAGAAAATGTAGAACAACATTCAAACTCACAAAAAAAAAACCAGACTTACTGGTTTGACAGAGACTGAAGAAACCCCAAGAGTACGGCCCCCGGACACCCTTTTAACTCAGTACTTAAGTCACTCCTGAGGTTCACCCTTTAGCCAAAGATTAGACGGGCTCATAAAACAAATAATAATACACGTAACTCAATCATGTAATGAGACTAAATGGGCACACCAGCCCAGGGGCAAGGACAAGAAGGTAGGAGGGGACAGGAAAGCTGCACAAATGGAAATAGGGAACCCAAGATCAAGAAGGGGAGAGAGTTGACACATCACGGGGTTGGTAACCAACATCAAAACAATATGTGTATTAACTGTTTAACAAGAAACTAATTTGCTCTGTAAACCTTCATCTAAAGCACAATTAAACACACACATACACACACACACAAACATCCTCTCTTACAGTTCTGGAGGCCAGAAGTCTGAAATCAGTTTAAGTTGGCTAAAATTAAGGTGTTGGCAGGGCTGCACTCCCTCTGGAGGCTCTAGGGGAGAATCCATTTCCTCGTCTTTTTCAGCTTCTACTGGCCTTCAGAATTCCTTGGCTTATGGCCCCTTTTCCCCTTCAGAGTGCATCACTCCAATCTCTGTTTCCATCATCACTCCCCTTCTCCTCCCTGTAGTCAAATCTCGCTCTGCCTCCCTCTATAAGGATGCTTGTGATTACATACAGGGCCCACCTGGATAATCCAGGATCATGTTCCCATCTCAAGATCCTTAACTTAACCACATATGCTAAGTCCTTTTTGCCATATAAGGTACCATTCCCAGGTTCTGGGGACTAGGACATGGACATCTTGGGGGGCTGTTATTCAGCCTACCACAGAGCACCTCTGTCTAGGTTCCTGAGAGAAGCTTCCCCCTCACTCATCCACTAACATTGACTAAGTTATGAGCATGGGGCCTGAGCCAACAGGTCAGACACAGAAAAAAGATGTTTTCTAAAAGATATCAAAACGGAGAAAGCCCATGAACTTTGCTCCTGTCAAGTCACAGATGTACCTTTTCCACCATGTTTGGCTTACTAGGCTTCCTGCTTTGTACCCAGCAGGCCCCACACACATCCCACCATTTCCCTATGCCTGGGTACAGCTCCTGTGCCATGGCCCCTACAGTGGTGAGAAATCCACAGCTTTGAGAAATTATTCACTTGTTATATAGAAACCCAAATTATAACCAAAACTGGAGCTCAGAGACAAAATGTCCTTGAGCATCAAAGACCCAGCCATGGTCCTATTACAGTCTGAGTCTTTCACTGGGTCCCAGATGGAGTATGGAGAGGGAAACGTGCTGTGTTGTAACTCACCAAACCTCTTGTAACCGAAGGACTGCACCTCCTCCTCCTCTGCAAAGTCGTCTGCAAGAGAAGAAAAGTTACAGCGTTAACAAGGGACACAGAATACGGGGCCAGGCAGGATACAACTGCTCCCAAGCCAGCTTGTACGACCCTCCCCTTCACCCACGATGCTTGCTACAGTGACTTTCTCTGCTCCTGGGACACATCAAGCTCCTGTCTGCCACAGGGTCCCCACACTGGCTGTTCCCTCTGCCTGGAATGCTCTTCCTCCTGATCTGTATGTGACTCCTTCTTATTCAGATTTCAGCTACAAGGGTGACGCCTTCGAGATGCCTTTCCTGACCACCCAGCCACTCCATGTCACACCATATTATTTTAATATCAGGATCTGATATTTTCCTCATTTATTTGTGTATGTGTGTGACTTTATTGCTGTCCTTGTGCATCCTGTGAGCAGTATGGTGCCTGCCACAGAGCAGGGGCTTGATACATTTGGTTGAATGAATGACCGAATGATAGCTGTCCAAGGGGTCAAGCTGCCTTCATGTAACTGAACCTAAGACCCTCCCTTTCAGATGCCTGTGCTCTGGGCTCATCTCTTCCACCAACTGTCTCATCTCAGAAGGCCTGGCAGGACTCTTGCAATGACAAAACTCTTCCCACTCTCCTTCCATTAGATAACTGGGACCAACAGATGGTTTCCAGAAAATACATTTCATATGACCTTGCTGTGGGAATTTCTAAGGAGAGGGCGACTGTGAAGACAAGACAGATATTAGTCAGCCAAGCCTTCTACCTAAAGGCCTAGAAGAGCTTCCCTAAAGCACTTGGCTGCTAACTGAAAGGTCAGCAGTTAGAACCTATCCAGAGGCTCTGCAGGACAAAGACCTGGTGATCTGCTCCTATAAAAGTTTACTGCCTTGGAAACACTATGAGGCAGTTCTACTCTGTCCTGCAGGGTCACTATGAATCAGAATCTACTTGACAGTACCCAACAACAACGAGACATAACAAGCCCTGGTAGCACAGTGGTTAAGCGCTCAGCCGCTAACTGAAGGGTCAGTGGTTCGAACCCACCAGCCGTTCTGGGGGAGAAAGATGTGGCTGTCTGCTTCCGTAAAGACTACAGCATTGGAAACCCTATGAGACAGTTCTACTCTGTCCTATAGGGTCGCTATAAGTTGGAATTGGCTCCACGGCAACAGGTTTGGTTTGGTTTGGTTTAATGTTGACATGAAGTATTGGTAGGTCAGTGGTAGAATTCTCGCCTTCCGTGTGGGAGACCAGTGGTTGATTCCTGACAATGTGCCTCATGCACAGCCACCACTTGTCTGTCAGTGGAAGCTTGTGTGTTGCTATGATGCTGAACAGGTTTCAGCAGACAGCTTCCAGACTAAGATGGACTAGGAAGAAAGACCTGATGATCTACTTCTGAAAATTAGCCAGTGAAAACCCTACTGATCACAAGAGTCCAATCCACAACTGATCATGGGAATGGCGCAGAATAGGGTAGTGTTTCCTTCTGTTATACATGGGGTTGCCATGACTTGGGGGCTGATTTGATGGCAGCTAACAATAATAATGCAGAGAAGATGCAATTCCTCATTACACAATTCTGCTAGGTGTAGGTCTGGGAAAGAGTGAGCACTGTGCAGACACAATTTCATATAAATTATGCAATTAAAGGATATTTTTGATGAAAAACAAGAGGTGTTGAGGCCAGGCCTTCCCAGGGGGCCCTGAGTAACCATCCTTGAGCTGGTCACATTACTGCACCAGCATCTAGCTTCCTCCATGTACCAAAATCAAAAACATGTATGCAGCACTCACTGTGGATCAGAGTAAGGTGGGGGGATGGGGGGAGAGCAGGTGTGCTTCAGACATGAGTAAGACAGGGTCCCTTCCCTCAAGAAGCTGACAGGCTGGGGAAGAGAGGCATGTAGGGGGGAAATGAACCCCCCAGGATGGTCACTTTTGATCCCAAAATGGGACACATGACCTGGCTATCTCTGAACCTTGAAATGTTATGGAAACCACCCAAGATGTACGATATTAACAATCAATGTGGTGGCTCTTGGACTACTAGTTTGTTATAAAGTGCTATAAAAACACAGCACAGAGTGTGATAACTTTGTATTTTGCCACTGTTTCCTGATTCTGAGGATAGGGAAGAGATCTTGGTGCGAAATCTAGGAGGCCACATCTTATAATTAAAATAGTCTTCTTATGTCAGGGACTAAATTTCAGTTCTTTCCACACAGAAGAACATGCATACAACCAAGAGAATAGCACCTTTCTCACTGATTCAGTGATTGGTGAGTTCAACAAATACATAGTAGGCCTCTACTCTGGGCCTGTTTGGTAAATAAATCTATCATATTAATGGCTGAGAGGCCTAGTCTATTCACAGTTAGGAACAAACTCTTAAAACAGAGAGAAACCTTTATCCTGCTGTGTCTACATATAAATCCATCCATTCATTCATTCAATAAATAGATGCTGATAGTCTAGTGAAGTGGATGAGACACGCACATATGTAATGATGCCACCATATGTCAGCTTCCCCCTTTCAGCTCTAGCCCCTCCACCCCCGTGCCAACACTGCACAAGAACCCACTCACACCCACATGGGGGTGGGCCAGGGACACATCACTGAGAACTTCACAGTGGAGGCAAGAGAGGAAGCTGATGCTGCATCCCCGACAGCAAACAGTTCAAGATCTCCTGTTAGACACTTCCGTTCTTCATCACTGGTTCCCTCTTTTTTTTCTTTTCCTCACTGATCTTATCTTTCCCCATTGCAACATTTAGTTGACTAACGCCTCTCTCCTGTGATAGTTCCCTGGGAACTTCAAATTTCTCACATTTTTATTATGAAAGCAATTCATTGCTACCGATTCTACCTCCAAATTAACATATTCAACCCCAACATGATTTCAACAAAACAAAGGCCTTACAGGTGACCCTCGATCAGGTCAAAGGGATCTGCTGCTTCTTGTCTTAACCCTCATTCCAAAAGGGTTAGGAATTCTTGTAACAGCTACTAAAAGAATAAAAACACCCCTGTCTCATACAACTATAAAATAAGTGAGAAAATCATATCAGACACAAAGGGTCCAAGAAAAGTACTACAGGTAACTTGGGACTGGGATTATCAGGGAAGGTCTCAGAGAGAAAGTATATTAATTTGGCTTTTCTCAACATTTTTTCTTTGAGGGAAAGAAGCAGACTTAGAAACCACTGTATTCTTTACATCTCTCTTAGAAATTCATAAACTATTAGAAACTCGGAGAAGTACAGAGAGAAAAAGAAATACTTGTTTAATGTTTTAATTAATGTTTTCAGAAGTTGACTTCAGAATCCTCTTTATGATAAATTTTGTTGATTCTTGTTAACCCCTGACATATCTATGTGTGGCATCAAATCGACAACAGCAACTCAAAAGGTTAGATAAGAAGCTTAGGGGGCAGTTAGTTTATGTTAATGGTGGTGGAATAACTTGGAAAACGGTAGTGAGAATGGTTGCACGACTTGAAGAATGTAATCAATGTCACCAAATTGTACCTGTAGAAACTGTTGAAATGGTGTATCTTTTGCTGTGTATATTTTCACCAAAACAAATAAAATTAAAATGTTTGTTAAAAAGAAGACTACTTTATGATATCCTTGCAGGTTGGGTAGAACTAGGGCAGATACACTCAGTGTATAGTTTATAAGCTTATGTATTCCCCCAAAGCTCAAATATTCCCAGTTGTTCCATTAACAAACAATCCATTGGGGTGAGGTTAAGCAGAAACAGAGAGCTCCAGAGAGTTAGAAAATGAAGAAAGAGGGCAAGAGCTAATAGGGCTTGTGGTTGCATGGACAACCTACATCAGGCTGTAGTAACCATAGGAGAGGGTGAGCGGTCAAGTATTCTTAATGACTGAACACTTTAGAGGGCAAAAGGCTATGATAGGGCCCACAACGGCTGACAGATGAGTTCTGATTAACACAAACAGTGTGAAATCAAGTGCAATGTTATATTCTGTTCTTAAACACTTTTCCTCACACTCTGTAGACCTAAATGTGCCCCAGATTGTCTTTACAGCATCAGGGGCCTACAAAGGTGACATACCCGAATAAGGATATTCTTCATAGGCCAGTCTCCTTAGCAACTTGCCACTTTTCAAAATCTGCCTCCGACAGTCAAAGCCATATAAGTGTAGACTCGTACATGAGTAAGGATTTGGTTAAAATTTAAGACCTCAGCTCTGCAGCGGCCATAACTTGATCCCTGCCTCTGACAGTGGTTTGTCTGCAGGGGAGAAGCAACCTTCACATATTAAAAGTGTTTAAGATTTATATCTACCAGCACATATTTTCTTGGCTTCCACAGCTGTATTTTAGCATTTTCATACCCACGGTCTACCTTGTATTTTGCTTTGCTATTTTAAAATGTGATTTTTATTTTTATTTTTTTACTTTCCTTGGTAACTGGCACAGGGCCACCTTGGCCAGAGAGAACGCTAAACAGAATCCTGCTGCTGATTTATTCTTTGAGCCTTGCTATTTCAGAGTAACGCGAGTTCAAGTGAAGTTTAGTTCAGCTAGCTTGGAGAATTGAGTCATACTTGTGAAAATGTTCCAATTACTTTGTGGACCAAACTGTACAACATCCCTATAGTTAGACTTTTCCTCTCCTTTCCCTTGCCTCAGAGCCTGGTGGCTGCGGTGGTTAAGAGCTCGGTTTCTAACCAAAAGGTCAGCAGTTTGAATCCACCAGCTGCTCCTTGGAAATCCTGTAGGGCAGTTCTACTCTGTCCTATAGGGTCGCTATGAGTGGAAATTGACTCGACGGCAATGAGTTTGGGTGGGTTTGGTCTTCCCTTACCTCTGTGTCAGCATTTCCTTCAGTCTACCTTATATTCAAGTTCTACTTCTAACTTCACCAGATGGTAAGCTATCTGAAAACAGGAAACTTGTCACATTGTACCCTCAGCAATCAGTACATTTGCAGCACATGATAGTTACTCAAAGATTGTTGTTGAAAATTGCTAAACAAGTTAGAGTTATACATG